CAGAGTCTTTTGGTAACACTGCGCAACAATGCTAGAATGTTTGGAGTGCGCTTCTCTCCCTCTAAATGCAAGTTGTTGCTTCAGGACTGGTCTGCGTCAACACCTGAACTAAGGATAGGGAGTGAAGTAGTCGAACGCGTTGACAACTTCACTTATCTTGGAAGTCTGATCAGCCCTAATGGGTTGGTGTCTGACGAAATCTCTTCACGGATTCGTAAAGCTCGTTTGGCTTTTGCCAACTTACGTCACCTATGGCGAAGGCGAGATATCTGTCTATCAATAAAAGGACGAGTATACTGCGCGGTAGTCCGTTCCGTTTTCCTTTACTGCTGCAAAACATGGCCATTAAGTGTGGAAGACACTCGTAAGCTACTAGTATTTGACCACAGATGCTTTAGAAATATTGCTGCGATCACCGGATAAGTAATACTGAGGTTAGACGCAGGGTATTAGGGAATGATGGTAAATCAGTTGATGAAATTGTGAATCTTCATCGACTGAGGTGGTTGGACCACGTGTTACGTATGCCTGAACACCGATTACCACGACGTGCAATGCTAACCGGTGTTGGAGATGGTTGGAAGAAAGTTAGTGGCGGCCAAACCAAAACGTGGCATCAGTGCTTGAAGTCACCAACTTGTAGTCTGAGCCATGTTGGTAGATGCAGACTACTTGGTTAGGGTCCGTGTGACTATCGTAACCAATGGTTGGAGACTCTTGTTTACATGGCGTAGGTGTATACACTCTCTATCTTCCCTTAAACTAAGAGATTAAAATTGCTTCATATCTTTATCTCTGCGAACTAATTCTTTCTTCATGTACTATATCCTTATTGCAATCTTTCTTTTATATATTACCACCTCTGAATTAACTACTTTTATGAATCCGGTGTCCATCTTGTTGTGTTAATGAGGTATGTCAACTTGAACCGATGCATATATGTGCCTGGTCCTACGTTGTAGCTGACTGATTGACTCCAACTAGGTCGAATCAGAAGGAAATGAACGACCCAGCCATCTGTTTGTTTTATCTTATTGAGTTTAGTTGAACTAAGCAATTACACATATCCAATAGATTCATTCTCAAGTAATGTGATTTAATTTATCTAATGAAGAGTTGAAAGTGAGATGGTAACTTATTACCTAATATATTAGACTTTCAACCGCTAGTTATTACGTTCGGACCCTTTCCCACCAACTTCAATCTGAGCATCTGTATAGGATTACCAGATGTTGTAACTAAAGCGTCCTTGAAAGCTAAGAACAGGAATTTCGTACATATATGTGCCTCGTCCTACGTTGTAGCTGACTGACTAAATATGTTGTATCTATTATCCAATTATCTATGTTGAATCACTGAAATCATCTGTTCATGAATTCATTTACTGTGGCTTAGCCAAGTATGATTTGTACGTTTAATTTAATCAAAACCAATATTAGTATAAGAAGTTTGTAAAGATTGTTCAGTTGAATACATTTTTCATGATCGCTAAATATTGCGCATTAACTATAGCTTAAGGTGTAAACCATTAGATACCAACTCAGTAGTAGTCCTAAGTTTAAGTGCTCCTTACAAAGCATTGAACCACCTGGTTCAATCCATGGTGGTGCCGTGGATACTTACTACAGAATAGTAGTCCTATACTGGAACAAAATAACTGTCCACTAGTTTCTGGTCCTCAATGTTTATCCAGTTAAATCAAATAGGTTGTGTCATTCTCTAATGAATAGAAACTAAATTATTCATAACAGTTTGACTCCTAATTGACAGCATTATTTATATGAATTTTTATAAGTTCAGTGAATCCATTTTCATGTGGGTGCACTCACAATCCGATATATACATTATTACAATTTTCTCACGACTGACTGAATGATGATGAAATGTACCGTGCAAGAATAATTCATACTTATTTAATATTATTGTAAACTGACTGACAAAATACTACGTAATCACTTTGTTAATTTACCTTATCAAACATGATCATTTGAATTGCAAATAGCTGTCAAAATAATACATCATTCAACCAATGAGAATCAACTTCGACCATTGAATAGCAAATAAATTTCAAGTTTTATATCTGTGATTCAATTGTTGTGGACTTCACATATGCACACACCAGTTCAGTAGTACCATTACGGGTCCATTTCATCAATGTTTTCGACTAGCATTCACGTTCATCTCGAAACAAACTCCAAACAACAAAGTTATATACAGCTTCAAGGTTAAAAAATTACACGTAAATTGGAAGATTAGTAATAAGGACAATTGGTTGTAGTGCCCTGAAAAATAGATGCAAATTTCTGGTGTAGTTTTTTCTCTGAACTGCATGGTTTGGTCGTGGAGCTTTCATTGTTCCTCTGAAGAACATCAAGAGCACAAACTTCAAATAGAAGTGAAGTGTTCGAATTTCTCCACATATGACTCACAGCTCTTGTCCTGTAGACCTCGATCTTGATTGATTATAGTTGACCTTTAACCTGTCATTGCTTACTTGTTTATTTTGATTGTATCTCCCATTGATTTGATTTTTGGTCCTACATTTGTCTATGATTTCTCTGATTGGTTGATAGATTGGATTACTTTCAACGTGTTTATTGATAGCTGATTGACTTGAGTTCCAAGCTCCTTAAAATTCTCTGATGTTTTTAGAATTCCTTTTACCCAAGATCCCAACATTTTCTCAGTCGGATGTGTGTCTTCATGAATCGCTATAAACTAGAATACGTCATGGACTTCAACCGCTAATTGATGTTCGTGCAGGCGAAGATGAAGGGGACGTTCACTTTATCCGATGTAGTGTTTTTTGCGGCTGGAACAATTTATTTTGTAGATGTTCGGTTTTTCTTTTGTCCTTTAGTTCAAAATTCTAACGTCCAGAAGTCATACGTTTAAGTTAATTAGGAAAATACCTTAGTTCCATAATTCATTATCGGATATTCCATTTGTAATGAAGAATTGTAATTGTGAAATCAAATAGTTGTGTTATGTCAAAGATTTTCAATACTGCATATACATATAACTAGCACAATGTAAAATTAGTTACTAAGCTTGTTAGAATTTACTGTTGCTTGGCAATCGCAGTTATATCAAAATCATTACAAATCTATACAGAAAAATATATTTACTCCTTGTTCAGTTAATTTTTTTGGAATGATGAAAATTATTAATTGAAGAATATGCACGACACTTTCTAGTATGGAAGTATATTTTCCGCCTGAATTATTCTCTTTGAACTAGATTTCTTATGTTCAAATTCTATTTTCATGGATGTTATTTTAAACTATTTTTAATTTTCATCTTGAGCAATTTCCACCACATTTTACTACTGTAACTTGCAACAAACTGAACCGATACAATATTCATGTCAGTTTCTACATTGTGTTTAACTGACTAAATTGTAGTGTATAAGTAATATGATTTGAAATTAACCATAATCTTTATAGATGTATGTAATAATTGTTTATATATGGTATATTGAATATCGTCTAATTTTTCATATATTGTTTTTTATACTTATATTCCTTTTTAATTTTATCTTGGTTTCTATATAATAAATCTTAAATAACTACTGTTTCTGTTCTACGGAGCTTCTAATTAGTTCTCCCTTAAACTTTGTATTCTGCTAACTAATATTTCTTAGCTTATACACTAGAATTTCAGGTCATCAGTTTTATCTTACTACTACAAACAATATCTTGGAACTAAGAAAGTCATTTATTCATTTTTCGTTTTCCGCTAACTGATTAAGTTCTTTATGATGAATAATATCCATTCAGCACGGGGTTTATCGAGATAATTAGTTTCGTCGCAGTATAGCGGGGTCGTTGTTGTTCACTTCCGATGTGCCCCATACCGGAACGAAATAGTTTTCCAATGTTTCCAGACTTTCAATAATTTTGATTGAGATCATCAACCGATTGATGTTAGACCACCGTTGAAAACCTGGAAGCACTGAACGACCGTTTCGTCCTATTATGTGACTCCTCAACAGTGCGCACCCACGGTCCCGCTCGCGGGATTCGAACCCAGAGCCTTTAGTCTCGCGCGCGAACGCTTAACCTACTAGACCACTGAGCCGGCATCCAGTGCTTCCAGGTTTTCAATGGTAGCCTAACATCAATCGGTTCATGATCTCAATCAAAACTTAGCAATCTCCACAACCCCTGTACTGACATTTTCAATAATGTCATGCCTGCCCACATTCTTTTTGATTGCGTTATACTATTCACTACTATTAAGTAGCTCGATTTTCCACCAATCATTTTTACGCTGTAAATAGTGCCATTTAGACTCTTTCAAGAGCCTCTTGTTATAAATGTACATCTTATTATTTAAATATACTGCCAACTTACACGTGGTTACATTTTTCCATTTCACAAACATTAAACGACAGTCCTCCAATACGTTTATTCAGAACAAAAATAACTACAGGACTAAGGTTTTCATATGTCATCCAACTAACTGTAAATTCCAACATGTTTATCAACTTTAATTTCTATCCGCAGTATAATAATTTAATGTGTTCGTTTAAAACATGTGTGTTCAAGTACTTGAACACTTCGATAATCTTCGAATGTATATTTCATCTTTCCAGGGTAAGACCTTTTGGTTTATCGTTTTTTTTATATTATTTACTTTAAAGTTGAGTTGCTGTGATGGACTACATATCCCTTTGATTCAATCGGTAGAATCTTGGCCAGTTAGGTATAAATCATTAATTCTCCATTTCATATCCCTTAAAAATGTCTTTTGTCACTTTTGTTGCCGATGATTGAAGTTGAAGAAGCGTTATTTGGCTTAGGAATCTAACCAGCAATTCTTGTATCACTTATCGGTACATTCAGTACAAGTCTTCGTCTCAACCAGTCGATATTTAAAAAGCCCTTTCAATGTTTTTTTCTTACTTGGAATATAGTTAGATTATATATTTATGATAATACATATTACTGAGATGAACATTTTGACTACTTAACATACTTGTGTCCATTAATTCGTAGGCCGTCATACGTTATTTCCCTGAACGTCCTCAGAGGGATTTTATCAATCACCAGGGAACTAGAAGTAATCCTTCCCCAAAAACTGGGGATAACAAACCCGAAAAGCAAAGTATTCAGAAATCAGATTTGATTATGCAGTCAAAAATAAATTCATTTAGTGCTTTTCCTTCGAAATGGGCAGATTCGAAACTACATTCACGTATTCCAACTCCTGATTCATTAGAGTCATCCATGTCTTTTAATAACTCTCCTCAACTTTCACCGATACCTAACTCAGATCCGATCAGTTTCGATAAATCTTTTTTATCTACTAATGGTATTCCAAATCCAACTGTTGACAAAACCTTTCAAACTGTATATTCACCTCTACACAATCCAGTGGCCGGAGATAATGAATCACATTATAGTTTAAGAAATATCTCTAATAATTCATCACTTAGAAATGTACGTAAAAGATTGCATCCATCCAATCGTTTAAAAATTTCCCCGATTTCTTATGATACATCAACGTCTGACAATAGTAATAATCTTTTAATTAATACTGAATCATTCACCGCCGCAGACTGTGATATTAATAACTTACAAGAAAAATGTACCAGTTTACCATTGTCTTCTCATTCACCGTCATCAGCTTCATCAAGTTCTACGGTTGGATTTTTCCGTGATCCATTTAGTTCAGATAGTGAAGGGACATTAATTGACTCATCAAATATCAAGTTATCGGGACAAAGTAATAATACACAGATCAATAGATCATCAACTTATGGATTTCATTATTCACCTGGTTTATCATCAACTATAAAAAATAATTCCAATGTTCCAATTCATAGACTAAAATCAAAATCATCAAGAGGCCGTAAAACTCCATGGTGGGATAGAACTCGCGGAAAAAAATCCAAATCCAAAGTTACTAATATTAGTAGCAACACTCAATACGATAAACATAATGAAAATTTAACAGATGAGAAGAATTCACTAGTAAGTTTATCATTGCAGTGTATCATGAATAGGTAAACAACAACAGTTTTCAGATGTTTGATATTGGTTAAATGGAATATATTTTTATTTCCACTATTTCTTATTAAGAATGTGAATATGATCAGATAAATGTTTTCTACTCATCTAAATTATAAGGAATAAAGTGGTTCAGTGCATCGATTACTACCCTTATTTCAGATATTTCATAGGTCCTGGTGGATTGACGTGATGTCTTACAAAATCTTACCACTGATTTAGAAAGCTTGGTTGTCATCCATCTGTCAACCATAGCACGAGTATACTACGTAGAAGTTCAAACTGTTCTGGCTGTGAAACATGATCTTTAAGAATACAATATAGGTTACTAGTAGTTATATATTGATGCCTTATAAATATTGCTGGCATATGTTCAGACCATGTAGTAGACGATCCTGCGGTTAGACGCAGGGTACTAGGTAAAGATGACAACTCGATACAATCTTTATAGACTGAGGTGGATGGGACATATCTTACGTATGCCCAACCACCGCCTACCCCGATGAGCGATGCTAACTACTGTAGGAGTAATTTGACTGAAGGTTAGTGACTGACTAAACAAAACATGACATTAGTTGACGAAGTCAATAACTGTTGAACTAAACCGTGTAGGTAGATTCGGACTACTTAATTCGGGTCGATGTGACTATCGTAACTAATGATTGGTGATATTGGGTGATATGACTCGAAATGATGTAAATCAATTGACTCTTTCCGTCAAATCTTGAGTTTTAAATTTATATTCACTGTATTTAACGATTTCATTCTCTTCAAAAATAATTGTCTATGTCCATTGTGTTCTATCATTATTATTATTTTCGACTTCTATTACTCTTTTATTTATGTCATTAATTTGATCTCTGGATGTGCTGATATGGTTTGGCGAATTGAACCCATGTACATATTTTGCAAGTTCTACCTACTGTTCTTTCACTGCATCAATATCATCATCATATGAAACTTTAAATACATCTTAAAACCTACTATTTTTAGTTGCGAGTGGATATTTGAATTCAATCGCCTTTTAAGTGAACAATTTTCCAAATTTGCGTGAATATTATTTCCCCAATGAGGTTTCTTTATATTATTTCATCCTCTTGAAATACAAAAGTTCTCTTATAAATAAACCAGTTTTTTTATCAATTCATACATTTATATTATCATTGAATTGTCTTTGTGTCTTACGACACGTTCAAATTTATTGAGTCGCACTATAACCATCTTTGTATTAATTGTATCCATCAGTTGTTATGACTCATAACATATTTCTTTTAGTTTCATAAATTAATCCTTCTCTAATAAGGGTTGCAGTTCTGTTGATTTGTTTAGTTTCTCACTACCTTCTCTCTATAGGATTTGTTTTAAGTGTCTTTTTTTCCGCTCACTTTTCTCTACATCTTTCGGTGTTGTTTATATATGTGGAATCTATTACTCCACGTTCTAACTTCCAATTTTATATTTGTTTGCTGAATTGGTAGTTTCGTATACAAAAAAAATAACTTCCGAGGATAGTTTGGTCGTCTATTGGTTCTTTTTTTAATTTTATATATATATATATTTTTTTTTTAAAAAAAACCTTTTTTTTATTTCTTTTTGTATTTGCTACTGCCTTTTTGCTCGTTGTTCAGTAAGTAACTTGTTGAAATACCCTGTGCTGAGAATTCTATATTGTACCAAAATATAATATTGAATAAAGCCATTAATAATAATAATAATAATAATAATAATAACGATCAAACTCACAAATATATGTACACCTATTTATAGACAACATTGTTTATATGTATTAGCTGCATTAAAATTGCAAATGAAAACAGGTCATTATTCTGTTTTTTCGAGTCGTATAAAATTTAAAGAATTCGTTAGCACTAAAATGCTGACCACATTGATATAATATGCGTAAAATGAGGCTATACAGGGAATCCTGTAACATATTAAACTGTCATTTTATGCAGTTCAATAGCATTAATTATCTATCACAATCGATTTTCTGAACAAAGTAATTCTTCCATCAAATATACAGGTTTATATCATAGACTTTGAACTATGATAATACTTGTGTGACATCTACTGATACATACTACTTATCTGGGCAAACCAAGCTCTTAACTGTAATATTGCTTATTATTAATATTATTTTAGTGTTTACTTTTTCTTCGATTGTTGGTTTTCAGGTTGAAAATGATTATCGACAATTTATCAACACACTGTCCAAGTGAGTTGTTTTTCCATTGAACGTGTTTGGATTACTCATTGTTTCATTTTGATGTTTGCAAGCATTTACATTCAACATGTGCTATGTATACACATCCTCATAAAAGATTATTGTTACACTTGTTGGAGAAATGAAGCTGCTTTAATTCGCTTCTTGCTTCAAAATCATTACATATTACTAGTATAGGGGTTTTGTGGAGATTATTAAGTTTTTGATTGAGATCATGAACCGATTGATGTTAGACCATCACAATTGAAAACCTGGAAGCAGTGGACGGCCGTTTCGCCCTATTGTGAGGCTCCTCAGCGGTGCGCATCCACGATCCCGCGAGCGGGATTCGAACCGAGGGCCTTCGGTCTTGCGCGCGAACGCTTAACCAACTGGACCACTGAGCCGGCATCCGATGGTGACAGTTTCTAACATCAACCAATCCACGAAATTGCGCGACCAACTTCCGTTGTACTGAGGTAGATACCTGTCTCTACCCGACAAGGATGTGATGGTCTAACATCAATCGGTTCATGATCTCAATCATTACATATTAGTTAGAGAAAATTCATTTGGGTCTATGCACATAACATTGACTCATGCCTATTACTTTTAATTGTGTGCAGTACGCATACATTCCAGCACAACTGAACGCCAAGAAAGTATGCACTACGTAGCTAACGATATAACATTATTGAGAAGTAAGTTTTTATAAAGAATATTAAGGAAAACTACAACGGAATCGTCACTGCCTTCTGTTGTGACCCATGCCTAATAAATTATCAAGCCAATGTGTTGCACCATCGTTAGGACCACAACCATGTTGTCGTAATGGATCGATAGATGCCAGTTCTACACGTTTTTCATATCACAGATTTTTTCACTCAGTCCCGGTATCGGCAAATAATGCACTGTGTAGAAGCAACTGAGAAGACATTCGTATAACGTATCCAAGCCAGTGTTTCGAGATTGTAACATCCGAACACACATGGACGAACATCAGCATTACTAGCTTGGGTTGCCATTGAATGTCAGTAGTCGTTCGAACACACAGAGTTGCTGTACATTCTCAAGTTGGAGGAACCAGTTTTCGCAATCATACAGTAAAAGTGCTCTCAGTGACGCATTGTAATCCCACTCTTTTCCAGGCAGACTAGCATCCAAATGGTCCAGATTGTTATATTTCGCTCGGACTTTGACTATACGTAGGTTGATTGTGATGTAGTGAATAGGACTTGATTGATTGGAGTACGAGTGACATACGGTATTGATTTTTTTACCATCTTTAATATGTAATCACATTTTATGAAAGCGTAACTATATAATTTACTAAGTTAGGTATATTTGTTGCTCATAACCGTTTACTTTTGTGGTACTGTAAATGTCTGTTCACATTGCAAGGCATTGAATAATTGATGTTCAATACTACTTGGTTCAGTTTATTCAAATCTGACTGCAAATGAATGATTTAAAAATAACACACTTAGATGTAATTTTAATTTTCGGTTTTAAATAAATCCTCATCTACTATATTCATATTCTTACTTGTGCCATCCGTTTCATGAATTTCCTGCTGAAGTACCGAAATTTCTCACAGCTACAATAGATCTCTTCTTTAAGACCTTCTTCAGGACTCAAACAAATACCCAGACACACAAATTTGTCGACTATTTCCAGATCTTTATCATAAAGCTTGATTGCTGGCACATACTTCTAGCATTCTTAGAGCATTACTTTGCATTTACAAGGTGCTAAGTACATGTCGTACTTATGGACATTAATTACTAAAGCGTATTGTCTTTCGACTAGTGATTCTGTCTTACTGAAATAAATGAGACAGTAATTTATTGAGATTGAAGCCCTTAATCAACTGAACCAATCATATCCACATACATCTGTATATTATGAATAATGTCGGACCAATGAAGTCTTTATAGATACCTACTGAAACGTTATAAAACTCTTCCTAGATTAATAACTAGATCAATAGATGCTTAAGATATGTTGACTCTGTACTCCCTGATTCGCTCTACTTATCGCTTCACAATCATGTTAAATTTTAGTTCTCTTGACGCATCACGATTTATCTATACGACTTTGAATTTTATTAAGTTGATATTACTTAAGGGTGCTTAAAGTAGTATTAGTAGCAGTGATAGATACCAAGGAAATCACTCATTTTACCTGAAAAGAAACCTGTCAGTTTGCTGAGAAGTTATCGTCTTTTTTTGTTTATCTTCTCCTTCCTCCATATTTTTGTCTGACTGAATTATTTGCGAATTTCATTTTGGACCATTCTCATCATTACTTTGTAATTTTCTTTATTTTTTCAATTACCATACTAGTCAGTCCGTTACTTCATCTGTAATTCATGCTAGCAACAATATCACTAATGATCTCCTGCATAATTCTAATCAAAACATCCACAATAATCATAGTAATGCACGTAAAAACACGTCTTCACGTCTATCTAGAAAAAAGCGCACTGCAATAAAAAGCACTGTGAATAATTTTACCACCAAAAATAGCAATGTAACAAAGTTCACATTTGATCAAAATACGCATTTCGCGCTGGGCTCATCAGCAAATACGTAAGTTCTTTGTCTTTTTCTGTCTTCTCAGTTCATGGTTGTTGTAAATATTTTTTGACCAGTCGGTGGATATCACAAATAGTGTCTTACAAGTTCATTAGCTTTTTTCACTATCATCCGGATAGAGACAAACAGACTATAACTAAAAACTAAAGTCAGGTTTTCTATAGTTAACCATAGAGTGGTGGCTCATTGATTAAACCACTTGACTATCATCCACTATTAAGTCTAAGGTTCGAACCCCACCCCACCTAATTCAGTTTGGTTGACCACTTAGTTATCACTAGGCCTCACATTTAGAATATCTGATAAATGACTAAGTCAGTCTAAAGTTATATTTGTTGTCTCCAGATTCACCGATACTAACCGGATTTAAAACCTGCTTAAGTCGAAAGATATTCCTTTTTCTTATTTAACAGTTTAAGGTTGAGGACAAAAATGTCTTAGTTGAAGGTGGTAAGTAGTAATCTTTACTAACAGCACTAAAGACGTAATCTGAAAATGATTTGCGTAATTTACTAATAATTAAAAAGTACACCAGCCAATGTTTCGTAAATCCGCCTTAAAATTTCTTTCAAGTTGTGTTTAAACGAATATTAGATTTTGATATGTTGAATTTATTTCAAAAAGTGTTCAGATTCTCGAAAATAATACATCGGAATTAGAAAATTTAAACAGTAACTTGACAAATTTATAAACATCGTTTTGTATTTTATTGAGATAGTTTTTTTAGAAATGTTCATTTCGAACTGATGTCAGCTGAAAACTCAAGATAATTCATAAGAACTTTCGTTTAAATTTGAAAGAATGATTTCACAGTAGTTTGGCGCCGAGTTAATGTGAGGAGAAATGATATTTGTAAACATCTCAGCAACTGAAATTTAAGTAAATCCAGCGTTTCACTTGTCAATATGGTCCAAGCTTTTTCAAGGAAATATAATCAAACATCAAAATTATCGAATAAAAATTCTAAGACCATCCAATCATGTTAACAACGCTGAAAGTAAAAATTTTCTGTAGTGCGTATGAGAAAAGTTCGTTAAAATAACAGTTCTCAAAAGTGAGAGAAATCTTATAGATGATATGAGTTAAACATTTCACAACATGCACAAAGTAAAGATAAATGTTGACCAAGCTGATCGTTGATCATATACTAAGATAAAGTAACGTATTAGAACAGTTGAAAGTAATCGTTTTTGTTCACATGATAAGTGGTGGATTAAATTAAGCGAGATGTAATGAGTTCAGTTTTACTTATTAATTATCTGTTGCCATGGTACAGCTAATTATATTCCATATCTCTTATTAATTCTATTTGGATTTACCCATATTTATAGGGCTTCAGCTGTTAGTCTCTCTTTGTAAGAACTAAAGCCTTTTGGGAGGATCCTTGTGTCACGATAATTCAGTTACCATTTGTTAGTTGTTTCATCCATTTTAGTTTGTGACCTATCGTTAGTACACCTATTCACATCCTCATACTCTTTGAATCGAATCCGAGATACTCAAATCTCATGATAATAAGATTAGGCCACTGAATCGTCATTCTCATTGGTCAACATTTATAAATTCAATGAGTTCGTAATTCCTCATCATTCTAATTCAATTTCAGAAATAAGTATATTTCTTGAATAACATTTGGCTCAATCCAACTTGTAAGGAATTATAAGTTCTCAATCCTAAGACTTCTCAAGTTAAAACTAAACAATTGATATTACTTATTTACTTACGTCTGTTACTCCCAATGGAGCATAGGCCAACGAAAACAATAGATATACCATACTCAATGTATGTTTAGATGAAGTGTTGGATCTTACCTTTGTATATTTCTGGAGTAATAATAAGTCACATGTATCGATCTTTCTTTATATTGTTTAAACTATCAATGGACATTTTCTCATCTGAAATTATTTTTCAGTGTATTTACTTGCTTGACTCGTTTATATTCTTTCTTTCTCACCCTGTTGCTCCGTTATATTTTAGATGGCTTGGTATGGGTACTGCACGTGGTCGTATTTACAGTAAACATCCAGAATTATTTCGTTATATTTGTGATAATGAAGATAAAGCATGGCTTGTTCAAACTGGTCTCATTATTAGTCATGGCGTCAAAGCATATTTAGTTCATGCTGAACAAGTACATCAAATTGCTACACAACAAATTAATTCACATTCATCAAAAGCTGATATAGAAAAACTAAAAACCTTTAAACTACCTTATTGGTTTCTACAAAAAGTATGAAATTATTAGTATTTTATATTGATAATGTATGAATCCTAATTGTGCTGGTATAAAAGTGTGTTAGATAAAAGTTAGGGACGGCCAAAATAAAACGTGACATCAGTACACAAAACCAGTGACTGTTGGACTAAACTGTGTAGGTAGATTCAGACTACTTAATTCGGGTCCACATGGCTATTGCAACTAATGTTTGGAGGAGACGTTGGACTCAAAGCGAGTCAAAATAATGTAAATCAATTCACTCTTTGTCTTTCCCTAATTCTTTAGTCTTGAGCTTCTACGGTGATCACATGCATAATTAAATTTTACTAAGAATACTGAAACCCCTTCAGAAACGATAACTCGCGCATTTCTTCTAATTCAATTTCCCACATTACTTTCGCCTTCTGATTGATTGTTATTGCTCTTAGTTCGTCAAATTTCTGTATGCTTGAAGGTCGTTTTGTACTGCTTGTCCTACCTCAAATATCAAGCTCCCTTCAATCCGTCTTCTTTCTCTATCGGCCACCAGGTGTTGATGTGGTTTGTAAATTTCCTTTGTCGAATTCAGAGAGTACCTATCGTATTAGAGTAGCTCAATTGTTTTTCCCCAAATCGTAGGACCGTACTAAACCCCGATAACGTGATAAAACATAAACTTATCTTATACTCGTTATTTCACGATCTTATCCTCACTTCCAAAATCCTACTATCTATGTCCAACGTGTCCTATTACTACTACTGTAATCAACAAACATTTGGGTAAGGTGAACCAAAATCACACATTGGATTTGTAAAATTTGAAAACAATACATTAAATACACTATTTGCCTATCTTCCCTGGTTTGACCCTTACAAACTCCATCGTTCTTCTGTTCCTGTTGTTATTTCGATTGGTTTCTGTTTTCCTTTCTCTTCTCTTCGTTTTCCCATTTTGTCCGTAAGAGTTCTACTTTGAGTTCTTAATACATAATACTTATATTTGTCCGTACAAGCAGTACACACCATACTACTACTAATGTGTTAGGATAGTCGGAAAAATAGACCAATAATTATCATGTTAAGTCCAATGGTGTCTTTGGACTTTAAATGGGCATTTCCTATTGGTCGATATCTGTTCACTTGTTGAATATTGTACAAAATGTTGTTTTCTATTTTATGGACGATGTGGTATGCTTGATTGGTATATAAACAAAGTATGTTTGAAATATAATGATTCATAACTCAGAGTCTGTAATTTGTGCTTTTGACTCAACTGGCCAGGACAGACAGCGAAGCAGGGCCAATCAGGGCACTAGGTCGTCCACTACGTGTTTGCGTGTCCACTGTCACAGAAGCGATCGATAAATACGCTGCTTATCAAAACCTGCAGTCTCACACGTTACAACATAATGATATCATTATGACTTGTATTTGTGTTAATAATCTGAACCCTGAATGCGCTGATATGATTCGGTGAATTGAGCCCAAATATATATATATATTACAAGTTCTACATTGATTATGATCGTCTGGCCGATAACCAGATTTTACTTTATCTAAATTATATTTCTCAATATTTATCGTTTTTTATACTGTTAAACTATTAATGATTATTTTCCTGAGTTCATTGTTACTATAGTTTCATCGGTGATTCATATCAGTTAGTATTTCCAACTTATTCGATCTAAGCATTTTCTTTTCCAAATTTTACTTTTTTTAACTAGTAGTTAAAACTTATTAATGAAAGCTTAATCCAATCAGTCGTTTGAATAGCGACTAAAGTAACTTAGCTTCTTGTTAATTAGATTTACTCCAACACCGTAGATATTAGTCATAAAGACTAGAGTGAATAGATTTTTTTGTCTTCAATTCATTTAATCTAACTGGTTGAAGATTATGTTAGAATGAGAAGGGTATTTCTTTATTGTTCATTTGCCGAATACAATTCTTCGATGAAAATTTGTTACAACTAATTCAATAATTATGATGGTATGTTTATCCTTGAGCAGAAAACAAGTCAGTTATACCAAAAATGGTAGGCATTTAAAAAAACAGTCAATTGGAAATGGGGAAATACTTTTCTATGATAGAGACCATTTCACTGTTCTGTCAACATATGAAATGATAATTTAGAACAATTCAATGTTTAATTAGTTCACTACTACAACTGTAAAAGTAAAAGAGCCAAATTAGTCAACAGACCTTATCGTAGAAATTAGCAAAATTAAATCGCTTTTCTTGGGTTAAATATTTCCCTACCTTAATTTCTATTCCAATACACTCATAACTGAAATTCTTTTATAATTCAATCATCATTTACTCACTCTGTTGTTTATTCTTTGAATCAAAAAAGGTTAAAACTGTCGCATCACGTCATTCATTTTTCGTTCATGTTATATCAACTGAAGAAGAGTTCACGAAGAACGAAATAGAAAAAAATAAACAGAATAATTCTTCATCAGTTGATGGACCATTTCCTTCTTTTATACAATCGTCATCTTCGTCTATATCCCGACCAAATATTAGTCAATCCAAATCGAACAATTCAATCTCTTTGTCGAATCCAATGGAAATCAATCATTGTACTAGTCATAATATTATTACTAATGTACCATCATCTAGAAAAATCCTAGTATGTTTCTATTTTATTACATTGTCATGAAATTATCGGTAATCATTTTGAATTGATACATTGAAATCTTAAGCTGTTCAAATCCATATTGAAAATTCCGTAGTCAAGTAATATCTGGTAGGACTCTTGATGTGAACTGACAGTGTTAAATCAATAAATAATTAAATAGGCAAGTGAAACTCAGTGAATAGGTGATTTCCGAATTTGTGTATCCAACATTCGACTGACTACAATGAAGCTGATATAAACTGTTTGATTCAACAGTTGATTATTCTTGATTTCTATTATAATGGGGGTTTGTGGAGATTGTAGTTGAATTCATGAGTCGACCTAAGCTAGACCACCATTGAAAACCTGGAATCACTGAATGGCCGTTTCGTCCTAGTATGGGACTCCTCAGCAGTGCGCATTAACACAGTTGAATTCCGGCTCAGTGGTCTAGAGGTTAAGTGTTCGCACGCGAGACTGAAGGTCCTGGGTTCTAGTCCCGTATGTGGGATCGTGAGTGAGCACTGCTGAGGAGACCTCCACTAGGAAGAAACGACCGTCCAGTGCTTCCAGGTTTTCAGTTGTGGTCTAGCTTAGACCGACTCACTAACTCAATTATTCTTGATTTAACGAAAGTCCAAATCGAACTTGCTTGTTTTTGTTAACATGCATATATATAATACTTCATTTATTCTCACCTGTCCAATTTGTCAGATTGAAGATGAGAAGTGTGTTCCAGTTATGTAATTATTCTACTTAGTTATTAGTTCAAACTTAATCCCAAAGCCTTTTTTAGCTTTTGCAATCTATTTTTACTCCCAATCATAGTGTAAACTTGGTCTACCTCTGGTTATCCTTATGTAAAAATCAACAGTGGCGATTTTTTTTTTCATGATCAATTAATTCAAATGAAAATTTAATGATCCAATCCCTTTTACCACTATTCAACTCACAGATACTATATATTCTCATTTTTTCTACGTCAGATCGAAAATACCATTAGGATTTAGGTTGTTTCCCTGTCTGAATAAATTTCTGTTTTGAATATTCACTACATGCTTCCATCTTGAAAAAGAAACTGATTTTCCTATTTATATAGAAAATTATGAGTAGAAATTAGTCAATTTCATTGAATTAGCTCTATTGATAACCTTAGATGAATGAAAAATAACAAATATTATGGGATTGATTAAATTTATTTCATTTTTTTTTGGTGCTCTAATTCTCCCACAAACTCACTGATTTGTATAAACAATAATATGTTTTACAATGCAATTATGTATGTAACATGTATAAAGTCATTTATTTCACTAATGAAAAATAATTTTAATTAATATCCCTTTTTTATATAAATTGAACTTGTATGTTTACGAATTCAGCAAGAAAGAGAGAATATGACTTCATCGTATGTGCAGATTTTTAAGATTACAATAGATAGATAGATAGAATGATGAAAACGATAGTAATTACCAAAAAATAACTCTATAGTAATCATAATAATGATATAGTAGTTGAAGACGTCATGAGAAAACGAAATAATATTGAAATGATAGGACCAGTTGTAATAACCATTAATTAGAATTGAAAGTATTGTAGTGAACAGAACACTGGTGGGGACAATCGAATTGTATTTAGCACAAAATTACCGAGTTACTTGGTAAAATAGAAAAACCATATAGTAAATCGTTCATTTGCAACATATCAATCCATTGTCTCACATTTCATTGTTCATGCGTTTTCTTACAAATTGCATTGTGTTCCTGCTCTTCCTTTCTTGATCTTCCTCCATCTTCTGCTGCCAGACATTACGTTTTTAACTCGCGTCATATACTACTTATATCAATCTAAGTAGCACGCACCACAGTATCACTAAACTAAACAGTGGAAGTATTATTGTAAGTAAATAAAGATAAGATCAGTGAAATAAAGCAAACTTTCGAAAATGAGAGAAATAATAAAGGAAAAATTATCAGTTAAACGATCAATATAACAGTGCCAAGTAAACTACAAGTTATTTTGTACACAAAATTGGGGTAGCAGCTGCCTCTGTATGACATGGAAATTTGCCGTTATTCCGTATATTTGTCGCTCAGAATTTTCATTGTGTGTCTTCCCATGGTACTGCTAGGTAGTTTGGAGCCATTCAAGATCAAATGTTCCAGCCTATGTTCCGAGTTTCTGTTATATCATACTCTCTCAATTTTTCTAACGTATGTGATGTAGTAGGTACAGGCGAAAAGCTTGAAGTTCAAGGAAAACATCCAATCACAACCTCAATTCTACCCTCCCTTTTCCAGGTGACACTAAAATCAGTATGATTTAGTTGTACGTCTTCGGTTCACCTAGTATATTCTGTTTAGGTTTTTAACAAGGAGAAAAGTGTATCAATCGATAATGTAAGAACTCGAATCATTTGTTTTTCTTTTGTCTTATGTTACGTATATCATATCACCATCTATTATTACACAACCAAAGTAGATTGATTTTGACCTACGTTTCACTTTTGATGTTACCGTAGACCTAGTGACTTAGTAACAATGATCCATATTACGCTTGTTATCTGTTTTTTCTTCAACAACTTATATTTTATGGTTTTAATTTGATTGAATCATGTTTACTTGTTTAATGTGAGTTTTTTCTGTTAAAATTTAGAATTCCCCAGTTATAGTACCCTCATCATCACCATCGTCATTGTCGTTGGCTTCTTCTTCATCTGTCACATCTAAATATTCTTTGGCTGCATCATCATCGGTGCAGGAGTATCATGACACGGACAATAATCAAAACAGTAATAATAATAATAATAATAATAATAATAATAATAATAATAATAATAATAATAATGTTCTATTAAACCGTAATTACACCAAGTCAAATTGGAAATCAACCAATTCTTACTCAAAAACTATGTCTATCGACAACACTGATCAGAATAATAATAATTTAGTAAATACAATTCAGTCACTTCCTAGTCCCAACCCACCAACATTGGAACGTTTTGATTATACTACTAATAGATAAATAGCTAGTAATATATGTATGCATGATTGATAATGTTCAGTTTTTTGCTTTCAATTAATACTTGGTCTTTCAGTTCATTCGATTGATTTGTTTTTATTCGTTCATCCAATCACTCACTTGTTGCCATTTCTTTTTCGATCCTAGAATATTCCGTTTTTTTCTCTCTCAATAACTCTCTTTATTTCATTTCTCATTACGTGATAATTTGCTTGTTGTTGATAATCTCTAATATTTTTTATTCATTAATTAAGATGATAAACTGTGTATTGTTGTTGTGATGGTGATAGTTGTGATTATTGTTTCACTTGTGCATTTCAACATAAACAAACAAACAGATAACAAAAGAAAGTGAATAAAAAATAGGCCTATTTGAAAAGTTTCTTCCTTTGTCAATGAAATTGTCATTTAACTGTCCTCTTTGTTCTTTGAAATCCTGTTACGTTTTTTTCATTTTTTTTCTCCGTGTATGTGCATGTGAATGTAATTGTTTTGTATTAAAAAGAGAATATTGTACATACAATAAACATTAAAATATGGCTGTCTGTATATATGTATTTAATATTGTTACTGTAATAATGGCTGTGTACTAATTATTTTCATATTATATCATCATCTATTATTTTCACTGTCGTCTGGTATTGATTTCATCCTATTTCTTTTGTTTTCATATTCTTTTCCTTTTTAATGAAGAATAATTCAGCTCATTATGTGTATGTATGGTTCTTCTTTTCTCTATCTTTCTCAAGCTTGATTTGAATCACTACATATTATAAATACACATTTCTGTTTTTGAATAATCAGTATTCGTTCATATAAAATCGGTGCTGTTATTTGCTTCAGTTACGCAGTTCATACTTACATATATACTACTACTTCTACGATGTCTTTGTATACTACCTCTTTTTATTTTCTGATACTAACAATTCATCATTATGCTTTGTTATGTTTGTGCTGTGTGTATATTTTTGTTTGAGGGGGGGTGTCTGTATAACTCACGTATGGCTTCTGGTTCACTCATTTAAAATGTCATGTTTTTTTTTAATAAATAGTCAAGATGTATTGATTCATTAATAAGTTTGACTATGAAAACAAATTGTTATTGCCTTTCATTTGAAGATGTCATTCTCATTTCCCAGTCTTATCGACGGTTGCTATAGATTTTATGTAACTGACATCAAAATTTCGGTAATTTAAGCCATTCAGTATTAATAATTTTAGGAAGGCTGTTATAAAATGATCTTGATTTTAAAGTAATGGAACTACTATGACTTATCTAAGTCTCATTAATTCGTATTAAACACCACTACACTTTTTTAAAATAATACTTATTTAAAATTGCCTAGTTTTCGAGCTAAGATTGTTAACGTCATTATCACCATTAAGGCAAGTCATTTTTCCTATTGTGTCTAGTGTCACTTTCAAAGCAATATGATGAAAATTCACATTTTGATTTCACTCAGTTGTGCATTTATCATTTAAGGTTAATTCCCACAATACTTTTCTGCGATTGTAAACAAGAATCGTTTGTTTACTCAAGTGTTAATTGTTTGCGATGCAAAACTTCTTGATTTATATGATTCATTTATATTCCTCCAACTGGGTCTTAGGTTGACCAATATTTTAGTTAAGATCTGGGAGTTAGACATTATTCCATCTGATTGGTCACAATCACTTATCGTCCCAATATATAAGAAAGGGTCAAAATCATCCTATGACAACCACAGAGGGATTAATTTAACTAATATAGTATCTAAAATACTACCCTCGATAATTATCAGACGCCTAAGACTCGTGGACTGCAGGCTGGCTTCAGACCTGGTTGTGGCTGCATCGACCACATATTCACCATTCGTCAGGTTCTAGAACACAGGCATACTTATCGGCGTCCGACAATGGTGGTCTTTCTTGACTTAAAGGCAGCATTTGGTTCGGTAGACCGCGAGATTCTGTGGCAGTATCTGTCATTGGAAGGCGTACCGCAGAAGTACATAAACCTTGTAAAGGCTCTTTACTCGAACACTACCAGTCGAGTGATAGCTTATGGCGAACTGTCATCTGCTTTTGCAACCTCAAGTGGTGTCCGTCAAGGCTGTTCACTTTCCCCATTTTTGTTTAACTTCATCATAGACCTATTGATGGAAATAACTTTCTCTTCTACTGAATTCTCGGGTATTGATCTCCTTCCAGGAGGTCCACGTATCGAATTAGAATACGCGGATGACATAGTCCTGTTTGGTGAAGACGCTGATAGAATGTAGAGTCTTTTGGTAGCACTGAGCAACAATGCCAGAATGTTTGGAATGCGCTTCTCTCCCTCTAAATGCAAGTTGTTGCTTCAGGACTGGCCTGCGTCAACATCTAAACTGAGGATAGGGAGTGAAGTAGTCGAACGCGTTGACAACTTCACTTATCTTGGAAGTCTGATCAGCCCTAATGGGTTGGTGTCTGACGAAATCTCAGCACGGATTCGAAAAGCTAGTTTGGCTTTTACCAACTTACGTTACCTACGGTGAAGGCGAGATATCCGTCTATCAATAAAAGGACGAGTATGCTGCGCGGCAGTTCGTTCTGTTTTCCTTTACTGCTGCGAAACATGGCCATTAAGTGTGGAAGACACTCGTAAGCTACTAGTATTTGACCACAGATGCTTTAGAAATATTCCTGCGATCACCGGATAAGTAATATTGAGGTTAGACGCAGGATATTAGGGAATGATGGTAAATCAGTTGATGAAATTGTGAATCTTCATCGACTGAGGTGGTTGGACCACGTGTTACGTATGCCTGAACACCGATTACCACGACGTGCAATGCTAACCGGTGTTGGAGATGGCTGGAAGAAAGTTAGTGGCGGCCAAACCAAAACGTGGCATCAGTGCTTGAAGTCACCAACTTGTAGTCTGAGCCATGTTGGTAGATGCAGACTACTTGGTTAGGGTCCGTGTGACTATCGTAACCAATGGTTGGAGAGTCTTGGTTACATGGCGTAGGTGTATACACTATCTTCTCTTAAACTGAGAGATTAAAATTGCTTCATATCTTTATCTCTGCGAACTAATTCTTTCTTCATGTACTATATCCTTATATGCAATCTTCCTTTTATATATTACCACCATTGAAGTAATCGCTTTTATGAATTTTGTGTTCATCTTGGTGTGCTGATGCGGTATGGCAACTTGAACCGATGCATATATGTGCCTCGTCCTACGTTGTAGCTGACTGATTGACTCCAACTAGGTCGAATCAGAAGGAAATGAACGACCCAGCCATCTGTTTGTTTTATCTTATTGAGTTTAGTTGAACTAAGCAATTACACATATCCAATAGATTCATTCTCAAGTAATGTGATTTAATTTATCTAATGAAGAGTTGAAAGTGAGATGGTAACTTATTACCTAATATATTAGACTTTCAACCGCTAGTTATTACGTTCGGACCCTTTCCCACCAACTTCAATCTGAGCATCTGTATAGGATAACCAGATGTTGTAACTAAAGCGTCCTTGAAAGCTAAGGACAGGAATTTCGTACATTACAGTATTGCGTTATATACTACAGAATTATATTAAATGTTATAAAAAGTCTTTGAGTAGACAATCAGATATTACCACCGACAAAGACTCATATTGTATTAAGAAATACCATAGCAGAAATCCATAAGTTATATCTCGTAAAATCTTTTATAAAAACCAATTCGAAAATTACTATACTTAGAAGTAACCTTGAATTACTTAACACACTTCAATCTATTAGCAAATGTTCGTAGTGTTCAGTGTGTAAGTTAGTGGACTAAATTGGTGTGTTGATCAGGAAATCTCTCAGTTTCATGCAAGATGCCTTCATCAGTACGCATTTCACAAAATAGCAAATGTTTAATGTTAGTCATCTTTGAGAAGTTATGTAAGCCGTAATTGGATTATTCTCTAACTAAAGAGTTTCTAATTAATCATATTTTATCTATAAAGTAAATTTATGAATTTCCAAGTTTTACTGATTAGAATAATCAATACAAAGGGTTTAATAAAATACTCGTTATGATTTATATATATGTAAATCAAGTTCATATTCAATAGTTTGGAAGAAGTAACAGAACGAAAATATTCAAGGTATACCTCGACAAATTTCATACACTTGGTTGCCTTCACAAATTTGAACAGAGGAAGAATGAGAATATTTGCAAAATATAATGAATTCATCGTATTTTATTAATTTCTCGTTATCTACATACAACCTAATACATTTACCTATTTCCAATTATTGATATAATATTCCATTTAAAATGTAATTCTTACCTTCAAAGAGTTGGTAGCTAACTTCTAACTGTTTTCAATAGTTGAAGTCACAATTCAGTTGAAGCTAGACCACCATGGGAAACCTGTAAGCACTGGACGGCCGTTTCGTCCTATTATGGGACTCCTCAACAGTGCGCATCTAAGACCCGCACCGCGGGACTCGAACCCAGGACCTATCAGTCTCGTGCGCGAGCACTAGACCACCAAGCTGCCATCAAACGGTGTTAATGTCTAACTTCAACTAATCCACGAAATTGAGTGACACATCCACCATTGTCATCAGCGAGTTAATATCTCACAACAGACCAGGTTGAACTCCATTGATATTCTAGCTTCAATTGATTCATGATCTCAACTATTGAAATTACTACAATCTCCGCAAAAGCCCCTCTGATTTTAACTCTTTTGTTAACAGAAGTACATTAAACATTTTGATCTTTTTTTTCCAAAATAATTCTAATCACAATCTAGTGAGTTAAATATACACATCCTTTGTTGTTGTTGTTTTCTTTCTGAACTTTTTAAAACAATTTTTTGATATTACGTGACATTCTATTGAATACTCTAAAAAATATCGTTCTAAACAATTACAGAAATGTGTTAAAACTAGTTTAATTATATAACCTCGTTCATATTCGTTATTGCTAATACATTTTCCATATTGAATATTGTAATAACAAATGGAAATAATTAAATATAATAAGTTGTAA